ACACACACACACAGACAGAGAGACAGACACACACACACAGACAGAGAGACACACAGACACACAGACAGAGAGACAGACACACACAGCAGGACTTGGTGTGACTGAACTTTATTGACATGTGATGGTTGACAGTTTCCTGACGAGCTGCAGAGACTCACCTCTAACCTGAGGACGGTCGATTTGTCCGGGAACAAGATCGAGCTACTTCCTGTTTCCATCGGAAACTTCCTGCAGCTCAAGAGTCTGACGCTCAACTGCAACCGACTGAGTGAGTGACACATCCTGGCTCCGCCCACACTGTACACCTGAGCTCATCCACACTGACACGCCCACATCATAATCTGTCTCTGTGTGTTGCTCTGTCTGTTGCTCTGTCTGTCTCTTTGTGTCTCTGTGTATGTCTCTTTGTGTGTGTGTCTATGTGTGTCCTCTCTGTCCCCAGGTACTGTTCCTAGTGAGATCGGGAAGCTGAAGAAGCTTGAGACCCTGAGTCTGAATGGGAACCGGATCCAGCAGGTTCCTCCGAGTCTGGGCCAGCTCAAGGCCCTGCGGACCCTCAGCCTGGCCGGGAACCAGATCTCAGAGTTTCCTTCTGGACTGGCATCCCTGAGGCAGCTGGACTTGCTGGACCTGTCCCGAAACCAGATCCACAACATTCCTGCAGAGGTGTCTGAGCTGCAGGCTATCGAGATCAACCTCAACCAGAACCAGGTATTGTAGAAGCCGGTCTTTCTGACTTTAGTAGAACCCACCAGAAAGCTTGGTAATACATAAACCAAACAGAACGTCTTCAAAAAGAACTTGTGACCTCTGTGAGCCGTGAGGTGAACCTGAGGGTCTCCACTCACCTGCAGGAAGGTTCTGACTTCAGCTGTTTGCCTTCTCTCCCTCCAGATCTCCATGTTGTCGGCTGAGGTGTCTCTGTGTCCTCGTCTGAAGGTTCTCCGCCTGGAGGAGAACTGTCTGGAGCTGTCCTCCATCCCTCTGTCCATCCTGACCGACTCCCAGGTGTCTCTGTTCTCTTTGGAGGGAAACCTGTTCGAGGTCAAGAATCTCAGAGACTTGGACGGATATGACAAGGTTGGACACTGGTAGTCTGCGATGGTCTGTGATAGTCTGTGGTGGTCTCTGATGGTCTCTGGTTGTCTGTGGTGGTATCTGATGATCTGTGTGTGATGTGTGATGGTCTGTGGTGGTGTGTGATGGTCTGTTGTGGTTTCTGATGATCTATGGTGGTCTGTGATGGTCAGTGGTAGTCTGTGGTGGTGTGTGATGGTCTTCGGTCATCTTCTGATGGTCTGTGGTGGTCTCTGATTGTCTGTATGGGTGTATGATGGTCTGTGGTGGTCTCTGATTGTCCGTGATTGTCTGTGGTGGTCTGTGATGGTCTGTTGTGGTCTCTGATGGTCTCTGTTGTGTTTCTTCCTCAGTACATGGAGCGTTTCACAGCCACTAAGAAGAAGTTCACCTAGTGACCTTGGTGCACAACCTGGATGCGGGGTTAGCCCCACAGCTTCATCATCACAGCCCCCCTCAGGACAGTTGACCTGCTTCTGTGAGGACATTTCACCGATCACAGGTCACATGGACAAAGAGGAGACATGGGGGGAGGGAGGGGCAACCACTAATGATCCACTTACCTGTGATTAAAGACAAATATTCAGATGTAGACCAGGAGCTGCACTTTGATCACTGATCAATTGATTAATTTTTCCAGATTAAATGTCAATAGATTTCAGCTCCTCGTCGTTTCTGTATCGTCTGTGACGTCTCTGTTCCTCTAAATCACATATTATTAAAGTTTTAGCAATGGATATGTAAATTAGCCCCGCCTCTGTCTCCACCCCCTCAGCTGCAGGTAACATAAAACAACATGAAAGACTTAAACTAATGACCTAGGTTTGTCTATAATTTGAAAGAAATTTACTCTGAACCACATTTTTAAATATTATAAAGACTAAACACAAGTTTTACCGAATGTTATATATCTTCATAAGCTCCAGCCCCCAGTGATGTGGCAGACACTTCCTGTATTTAAATCCACTGCTTCCTGTGCGAGCCGTCGACAAACAATAAACCAAGTGTGTGTGTGTGTACACCTGTTATTGACATGTGTAACCCAGGCGTGAACCATGAAGGACTCACCTGACACGCGTGGAGGTTCTGAAACACGTGTCCCGACCTTCTGTTCTAGTTCATGGGACACGGAAGGACGACCTCTGACCTCTATCTTCACTCTGCTTATTAGAAAAACATTTTTATCAGCGCTCCTGACCACGCCCCCTCTCTCTGAGCAGGTGTGAAGGAGCTGTCACACCACCAGGGGGCGAGACTGTGCAGTGAATCAGCATGAACCAGGTCTGAACCCTGTGTGAGGTCCTCACATTGATACACAAACAAGTATCACACATTACACACGTTTCTGAACCATAGAACATTAACATGTAGAATGTAAACATAGAGAGCGT